CTCTCTCTCTCTCTCTCTCTCTCTCTCTCTCTCTCTCTCTCTCTCTCTCTCTCTCTCTCTCTCTCTCTCTCTCTCTCTCTCTCTCACCCACCCACCTGTGCTCGGAGAGAAATGAGCTCGATTTTATTTTTATTTTTCTGAAAGTCTTTCGGACGTTGTTTTTTGTTTTGTTTTTTCTCTTTTGTTTTTTTTCATGTTGTAGTATGGGTAGCCTCAGGTTCGCATAGGCTCGGCGTACAAGTTGTTTTCAATATCTGGGAGTAGTGGTGGTTTAAGTAGCGGGTGCGACTGGGTATTCATATTCCCATGAGTGCAGGTGGCTCCGCGTGAAGGTTTTTACGGGTGACAGGCGGGTTGGGCTTGGGGCAAAATTTGCGGGTGGCTCCGCGTGAAGGTTACAGGTGACAGACGGGTGACAGGTGGGTTTGGTCACCTTGAGATTTATTTTATTTTATATTCTGCGGGTGGGTTGTACAAAAAAAAAAATGGCCGGGTTGGGTGAAGTGTTGATTAAAAAAAAAAACGCTCATCTCTGTCGTGTTGCCAGTTTGGTGTGGAGGTCAACCAATGATCGAATTATACGATATGCCATCTTGACCTTGAATGTCTGCAGCTGCCGTCTGCTGTGCCTTCCTCATTTTTGCCGGGTCGTCCAAGTCCATAACTACACACTTTGTTGGCTGTCTCGTTTCTTGGGCCTCTCAACCGTTTCTTTGAGATCTCTGAGTTGGTGAGCAGGTACTCAAATGGGATATCCTTCTTGTCAGGCTGAGTCATGGAAGAGGTCAATTCCCTGATGGACTTACCTCTGGTCTGATGGTGTATATCTTATTGAATAGTTGATTTACTGTTCCATCCGGGTCAGGCCCCAGTGCCCCACTGATGTTGTGTTCAAGGCTGGCTTCCATATAGATGAGGATTATGCTTTTCAAGCATGGACAATCCACTGGGGCCTGGTCCATGTCAAATGTTTGTAGCTGTCAACTACTGACTGATTTCTTTGCGCGCTTGCAGCTTTCTTTGTCTATGCGGGGGGCTTGATCGACACCTTTTCGAGCCATCTCACACCGAACGTGAGTGAATGCCTTAACAGCTTAAAGAACAGTGAAGGCAAGTTCTCATTGGAGCGTCTCCAGCAAATTCTTTTGGATCGGGGCAACCTCTCTGCTTCCGAAATGGAGAACATTACTGAAAGCTGTCGAGCACTTGCATACCAAATAACTGAGAAACAAGGTGGGTGCACAAGGTACTGTCACCCTGAAGAAGCTACAATTTGCTGTGATTCTATTTACCTTCCATCAGTGGAGTTCGTCAACCTAGTAGGCCTTCCACTAACAGAGGCTGCAACAGGTACTATCTTATGCTCCTCCTTCCCCTCCCTGGCCTCATCCCCCTTTGCCGCCTCCACCTCCACCTACACCTGAGCCTCCTCCCCCAACCTCTCCTACTGCAACTCTCCTCCTGCTCCTGCTGCTGTTGATGCTTGCTTCTGCTTCAAGCCCTGCTCATCTTTGGTTTCTTCGTCTGAGACTCCATTCACTATTACCTACAGTGTCTCACATTCTCCCTCTAATATCACATCCTTCTCCTCATCCTGTTGCTTCCGCTCCTCATCCTCCATCTCATTGTCTTTTGTATCCTACTCCAAGTTTCTTTATGTTAGTCCTCAATTATTAACTGCTCCTTCACTGCGCTGGGATGCTGAGCACAATGTCCCTACCCTTTAAATTCCATTTGGCAAAGTTTCTCCATTTCTGTTCTTTGCTATGATCCTACCATTCCTACCACATTCATAATGCAAAACTCAAACTGCGAGAAAAGGCAAGACTTGCTGAAACTCCAGTTTAAAGAAGAAGTGGAAAGACAGAGAGAGAGGCTAGTGGGAGGGGAGTGAACCGGCAAACCAAGGGTTGTGCTCCACTCAGTCCACTGCAGTTCCTCGAGGACTTTACTCGAAGAATTGCGGGCTCCACTGGCATTTTTACATTTTTTCTTTTTCCCGCATCTAGCCTTCATTCACTGGCCGAGGGGTTAAGGAAGAGACGGAACAGATACTGCTAGCCATCTAGCATAACGTTCGATCTGGCATCCGACGAGACAGATGAAGAGGCAGTCTTCTTGGTTGGGATTTGTCAGGCTATGTAGGGACGCTGAACCCAGTTTCCAGCACTTTTAGGTTTCCTCTACAATTCT